GCTTTTTGAATCTTCTCAAATCCTCACCTAAAAATAGAACTACTAAACAGCAAAACCATAAAACTCACGGACATTTGTAACAGAATGAGGTGACAAGAACTGACGAGGATGAGGAGTGAACTGGAACTCTCCTGCCTGGCAGGAGGGAATGTAAAATTTAAAGTTCACACTTGGAGTTTTAGTTTCTTAAAAAGCACACACCTGCTGGCTCACACCTGTAATCCTAGCACTTTGAAGAGGCCAAGGTGGGCAGATCACGAGGTCAGGAGATTGAGACCATCCTGGCTAACACGGTGAAACCCCGTCTCTACTAAAAATACAAAAAATTAGATGGGCATGGTGGCGGCGCCTGTAGTCCCAGCTACTCGGGAGGCTGAGGCAGGAGAATGGCATGAACCTGGGAGGTGGAGCTTACAGTGAGCTGAGATGGCCCCACTGCACTCCAGCCTGGGCAACAGAGTGAGACTCTGTCTCAAAAGAAAAAAAAGCACACACCTGCCATATGACCCAGGCATTCCTTGTTCCAAGGCATTTACCCAAGAGAAACAGACGACAAAGACAAGGATATAAATGTTCACGGCAGCTTTGCTTTATTTTTACTTAGAAACTGGAAACAATTGAAATATTGGTCAACAAGTAAATAAATAAACTGCGGTATATCCATGCAATATAAAATGTGGATTATTGATATACACAAAACGGGTGAATGCCAAAATAATTATGGTGAGTAAAAGAAGCACCTCCCCACATGGTACTTGCTCTGTGATTCCACTCATATAAAATTCTAGAATATATAAACTAACCTTTAGTGAGAAAGAGCAGACCAGTGGTTGCCTAAGCATGGGGGACACCAGGGACGGTTTAGAAAGGGGTGTGAAAATGCTGTTGGCGGTGATGGACATGTTCTGGTGATAGCTTCACAGGCAAATGCATCAGTCACTTTACATATGTGCAATTCATTCTGTTACACCTCAATAGAGCTGTTTTAAAAAGCAAGGTGGGGCTGGGTTTGGTGGCTCATACTTGTAATCCCAGCACTTTGGGAGGCTAAGGAAGGAGGATCGCTTAAGGCCAGGAGTTTAAGACCAGCCTGGGCAACAGAGTGAGACACTGTTTCTATTTTAAATAACAAAACAAAACAAAAGTGGTACAATAACAACTTTTAAAACTCAAACAGAAACAAAAAAAGAGATAAAAGAGATTCAAGAGACAGTGGCAAACACTGGAAACAGGCAACTTAGATTTCAACATACAGATAACAGGAAACCCCAAAGAAAAAAGCCAAAGCAAGAAAAATGTAACACTAAACTCCAGTTCAAGCAAATCTTAAAATAACAGATGTGAAGTACACATAGAAAGAGCACACCATACACCTGCAAATACGGACCAGGACAACCAATACCAACACATGCCACGTTCGAATCAAACTGCCGGCTTGATAGAAAAAGGAAAAAATCCTCTGGGCATCTAAGTAAAAATAGCATATGACTGTCAGGGGAAGAAAATAAGATTCACCAGGCTTTTCATGCATCACTTTATGCTGGAAGATAACAGAATAAAACAAGATACTCAAAGAAAATCTGAGGCAAGAATTTTGTATCCGGCAAAACTGAATTCAACATCAGAAACTCAAGGAATACTGTCCCCAAGATGACACTGACTATAGACCGGTTATGAGAACTGAAAACACAGGAATGAGTCAATGGCAGTAAAAGAGAGTGACTTTTCTGACAATGTGCTGTTTTCATCATCACAATTAATGCTACGGTATTATATTTGTTTTGAATGCAAAATGTTAAAGAGGAATAAAACAAGTGAGTGATTACGGGATATTCCATGCCATCGTCCTGTGTCTTGAGAAGCAGGATTCTGAGTGCAGGAGGCACAGATATCATATAGAAGAGGCTACGTAAAGGCCCCAGAACCCTGAATTTGTATTGGGAATATCAATATAGGCTCAGAAAATATTTTTTCCTTTAAATGTGTGTGCAATGTTTGTATTTTTTTAAAGCTCTGTCCAAAAAAAGTCTAGAAACAATGACCAACCCGATAGCAATGAGCATCCTCAACTGTGGATCTGAAATACCATCTCTACCAGAGACTCTGGGAAAAATAATGGATTCCAAGTGTTAAACGGAATTAAGCTTGGCCTAAAACTGCCTCTGTACATAGTGACTTATAACCTCACTTAATGTATACACAAACTGGGACCTGACTTAAGCGTACACTTCTGTACAAGCAGCCGAGTCTCACCAATCACAGGCTGACGGCTGCCAAAACATGCCTTTGTGAGGCGGAGGCTGACCTGCAGTCAGTCTGGCCAGGTACGTGTGTCTTTCCCTTCCTCTGGCTATAAATACAGCCTGCACACAATGCGCAGGCGAGCGTTCTGAACCACTTTTGGTCCTGAGTGCTACCCGGCTGAAGAAATTATTTTCTGCTCAATTAAACTGCTAACTTGTCTAAGGTTTTTCTTTTAAGACAGGTTTGGAGCAGAAGCTATATAAAATGGGCCTAGAGCATCTTGACATGCCAGGCTGCACGGAGCTATGAATAACTGTGCATGTGGTCTGTGCACACATGCATGTGCACGTATGCACGCTTATCAAAAGAAATCAAGGGCCAAGCTGAAGAGGCTCCCTCTCACTGACCAAATAAGCTTGTCTGAGTTAAATAAAGATAAAAATCACAATGGATTGAAATCCACCAAATATGCTTAACTCCACAAATGCTATTTTTTTTTTTTTTTTAAGACAAGGACTTTCTGTCACCCAGGCTGGAGTGTGGTGGCATGGTCACAGCTTACTGCATCCTCGACCTCCTGGGCTCAAGCGATCCTCCCATCTCAAGCGATCCTCCCATCTCAGCCTCCAGAATAGCTGGGACAACAGGCAGACACTACCACACCCACCTGATTTTATTTTATTTTATTTTATTTTTTTTTGAGACGGAGTCTCACGCTGTCGCCCAGGTTGGAGTGCAGTGGCGCGATCTCGGCTCACTGCAAGCTCCGCCTCCTGGGTTCACGCCATTCTCCTGCCTCAGCCTCCTGAGTAGCTGGGACTACAGGCGCCCGCCACCGCGCCCGGCTAATTTTTTGTATTTTTAGTAGAGACAGGGTTTCGCCATGTTAGCCAGTGTGGTCTCGATCTCCTGACCTTGTGATCCGCCCGCCTCGGCCTCCCAAAGTGCTGGGATTACAGGCGTGAGCCACCGCGCCCGGCCCCACCTGATTTTATTTTAATTTTCTGTAGAAACAGGTTATTGCTATGTTGCCCAGGCTAGTCTCAAACTCCTGGGCTCACGTGATCCTCCCGCCTCAGCCTCCCAAAGTGCTGGGATTACAGGCATAAGCCACCATGCCCTGCCCATGAATTCTTGTATATAAGTAAAAATCCTTCACCACTCACCTTCCTTGACAGACAACTAGTGCATTATCTTAAAAACTTAGTGTACAAGAGCAAAGAATCAAGCATTTATCCTGCCCTTCCTATATGAACTGTACCACTGCGTAACCAAACAAGCATAAAAAAGAAAACACTTTCTTAGAAAACCATTCCAGCTAATAAAGGCAAGCAAAATGACAGAATAAGAATACCACCATTTTACAACCCCAAATAATTAACAGATCTTGGCACTGAGCATCAGCTGCTGTCAACATGGTGCTTTCCTGAGCAAAGCACCTAACCGCCTATTCTTCTGCCAAAGGGATCAAATCTGAGGCTCATCAAGCCTCTGGACCCAGCTGCCAATGTGCAGGAAAGATAGAGGGCCATGCTGAACTGCACCATGACCACGCGGTCAGTAAAATCTACCCTGTGGGAAGCCATGGGACAAACAGCCCAGGCTCTTCAACAGATAAATGGCAGGGAAAACAGCGAGACAGACGGGACTGCAAATGGATACTGAATTAGTTAAAAAAAAAAAAGCAGACAAGACTAAACTGCCATCAAGAAACCAAGAAAGTCATTTCTGTAAAAGTTGGGATTACTTCTGGGGGCAAGGAGCGGGAGAACAAGGGGGCTATGGCTGGAGGGGCACTTGGAGAGCCTTCTGGGGTATCTGGCAAAGTACTATTTCTTCCCTGGGTGGTGGACACAAAGGTATTCACCTTACAATTGTAATCATTCATAAGCTATATATTTGTTTTGTGTTACTTCCTGTATGTTTTTATGATAAAAGTGTTTAAAACTAAATAAATAATCATGTCAAACTTTTATCATTATTTTTTTTTGAGACAGAGTCTTACTCTGTCACCCAGGTTGGAGTGCAGTGGCGCAATCTCGGCTCACTGCAACCTCCGCCTCCTTGGTTCAAGTAATTCTTGTGCCTCAGTCTCCCAAGCAGCTGGGACTACAGACCCATGCCACCATACCTGGATACTTTTTGTATTTTTAGTAGAGACAGGGTTTCGTCATGTTGGCCAAGCTGGTCTCAAACTCCTGACCTCAAGTGATCTGCCCACCTTGGCCTCTCAAAGTGCGGAGATTACAGAAGTGAGCCACCGTGCCAAACCAGTGTTTTTTTTTTTTTAATTTGCACAGTTTTACACAAAAGAGCCAAATAGATATTTGAAAGATTGATTTATGCATTTTAGTCTTTACAAGTCATAGCTGTTCCCAGAGAATGGCCTAGCAGCCAGGGTCGCCTGCAGGCAGGCTTTGCCCTATACTAAGTGCCCGGCAAGCAGGCACATGGGGCTGAGACCCAGTCTATGCCCTGCCCACTGAGCTGCGCGCCCAGGCCCTGGGCAGCATGTTTCTCTAAGGTACCCATGGGCACAAGTCACCTATACAAGCAGGAGACTCAGTCCTGTCGACTGGATGGTAAATGGAAGCTTCCAGAACACTTCTAGATTTCTGAGTTGCATCTTTTAACCAATGGTTCTTTGATTTATCAAAATATAAGCCACAGAATTTTAGGCCATTTGCCTTGCTTGCCTGCAATAAAACAAGCAAGAACAGTATCGAACCCAGTAAATATAATGCAGAAATCTCACATAATTCTCCAATCTCAAAGATGTTCAATTTATTATATACTTAACCGTTTTTTATGAAAACGTGTCACAGAAGGCCACTGTGCCTGATTCCGTGTGAAAGACGCATCTGCCCATCACCGCAGTGGTCCCACCTGCAGGCTGTTTTCCACACCAGTAAGCACAAGCAGCAAGACAGCCACTGGCTCAAGTTCTCCCAAGGACTAAAGTCACATGGCTCAGTCTTCCGATTGTTTAGCTCCTTTTCTGGCTAATCTATCAGCTTCTTCATTGCCTATAAATCCCGAATGACCAGGAACGTGCATCTGTTAAGATAAATGTTTTCCTTTTATTTTTACTCATCTTTACATAAGCGACACATGACTATATTCTCACCATAAAAAAACATTCAGAACAGACTGCATAGCGTAAGCTCAACTTCGACGCTCCTCTCCCTAAACGTGATCCTCAGCAGCACGCTGTTGATTCTTCACGCGTTTATGCAACGGATGTATTTACAAACATTCCATTTTGTTTTTCTACAAATTGGATTTTACCGTTCATATTGCTATTTCCTCCCCCACTTATCAATGGGACTTGATAAGCTTTCCAGGCAAAACACATGTATGTACAGATGGGTGGACGGATATGTATGCAATACACACACACACACTTCCCTTGCAGCGCTGTCAGAAAAACCAATGTACTTATTTAACTACTGTCTACATTTACGTTGCCAAAGCAAATTTACACATCAGGCTACCCAACTGTTATCAGTGGTTCCGGGAAGGCAGAACAAGGCAGGGTTGAGACAATGGTTGCAGTTTAATTTGTTCTGTATTGCTTAAAAAAAACTTTTTAATAAACACGATCTATAATTTTAAAAAATGCTTCCATCTTGAAATAAAAGTTCTATCACCAAGGCTTTAATCACACAACCTTACTATTGTTTGAAACAAAATACACTGATAGTTTTATTTAACATTATGATGCATTCCGAAGAAACAAACAGGGTGACATACAGCTGTCATAGTAATGTCATGTGCCCAGGTTAGGTGTTAGTTTGTGTTCTTAACAAAATGTAAGTTTTGTAGAACATCCCTCAAACCACACTGCCTATGTATTCTATGCCTAGCGATACTCTCACTAAAATTGTATTACTTGTGGTTGCAGTGAGCTGAGATTGCGCCACTGCACTCCAGCCTGGGCAACAGTGCGAGACTCTGTCTCAAAACAATAAATAAAAGGTTGACATGATTATTTATTTAGTTGTAAACCTTTTTATCATAAAATAAAAATAATATAGGAAGTGACACAAAACAAACGTAATCCCAGTACTTTGAAAGGCCAAGACAGGTGGATCGTTTGAGGTTAAGAGTTCAAGACCAGCCTGGGTAACATGACAAAACCCCATCGCTACTAAAAATACAAACATTAGCCAGGTGTGTGGGCATATGCCTGTAATCCCAGACACTTGGGAGGCTGAGGCATAAGAATCACCTGGACCCAGAAGGCAGAGGTTGTAATGAGATCACGCCACAGCCTGGGGTGACAGAGTGAGACTCTGTCTCAAAAACCACACCAAACCAAACCAAAAAACCGTATTACTTGTATGATAAGGGAAAGAATCAAATGTGTATATGTGGGTGGGTTTGTTTTTCTGAGACAGGCTCTTGCTCTGTCGCCCAGGCTAGAGTGCAGCGGTACAATCTTGGCTCACTGCAACTTCGACCTCCCCAGCTCAAGTCATCCTCCCACCTCAGCATCCTGAGTAACTAGACTACAGGCATGCACCACTACACCTGGCTAATTTTTTATTTTTTCTAGAAACAGAGTCTTACTATGTTATCCAGGCTGGTCTTGAACTTCTGGGCTCAAGATGTCAGCCCATTTGGGCCTCCTAAAGTGCTGGATTACAGGTGTGAACCATTGTGCCCAGCCTCAAATAGTTTTATTTTTTTGAGACAGAGTCTTGGAGTCTCATATCGTTGCTCAGTGCTGGAGTGCAGTGGCGCGATCTCGGCTCACTGCAATCTCGGCCTCCCGGGTTCAAGTGATTCTCCTGCCTCAGCCTCCTGAGTAGCTGGGACTACAGGCGCACCCCACCATGCCTGGCTAGTTTTTGTATTTTTTAATAGAGATGGGGTTTCACCATACTGGCCAGGCTGGTCTTGAACTCCTGACCTCGTGATCCACCCACCTCAGCCTCCCAAAGTGCTGGGATTACAGGCATGAGAAACTGTGCCCGGCCTCAAATATGTTTTAATATACATTATGATATTAATTGCATGGAAATTGTTATGTCATGAAACCACTTACATAAACCACTAATCTCTAGTAAACTTAGCTTATTTGGTCATAATAGCCATAAGACATGAACATTTAAGATACTCACCCACTGAATGTCCATCCCCTGGGTGAGCCTCTCCAGTGCCACGAAGTCCTCTTTGTTGATCACCTCTTTCCCTGCACTTGTCTTCCACCCATTTTCCTTCCAACTTTGAACCCAGTTAGTTATACCTACCAAAATGCATGATCACTGGTGAGTCAATCTTGAGTGTCCTGCCTTTTTCAACTCCTTAGTCTTACCTCTTATAATTGATCCCACTTGTATTCTGAGTCACCATCCTTGACTCTTCACTTCCTTAGCTGGCCTCAGTGCTTTAGCTTTTGGCACAGCCTGAAATACCCACTTCTCTTCCCCTTCCCCTAACTTGTATTCTACCTACAGCTGTCAGCTTAAGATGTTATTTTTCCCAGGAGCCTTTCCCAGTCTCATAAGCATCCCCTACATGCTCCTATTCAGGGCATTTCCCAAAGAAGCAGTCAACACGCCATCTTAAGTAACTTATACACACACAGACTAGAAGTAACACTAGAGCAGAGCCACTTCCACCTCTGACTGCATCTCCAGTGCCTGGCGAGGAAATAAGCATGTGGAAAACATCAGAGCAGCAGAAGGCAGACTCCAAAATCCTCACTCTTTGCTTGATACCTGACACACCAATGTCATCCCCCTCAACGCTCCCATTTGGGTCCTGCCCTGTTACAACACCTCCTACCAATTTCCCTTCACAGTTACTGGAAAAACAGAAGAAATCAAACGTGAAAGCTTACCATTTATAGTAAACATACTGTCTGTATACAGAACCAGTTTACTGATGTTTTGAGTCTTTGCTTGTTCAATGGCTTTGCAGGCTGCCTTGAAAAGACAAGTCGATAGTCATGCTACAGAAAATGTTCAACTTTGACATTACTGAAGTTCAAAAGTACTTCAAAATTGAAACATCCCCTCTGTACTGTGATGATCGTATTCTCTGTATGAAACACTACTATACATATACAATTCTCCTGTGCAGACATCTATCTGAAGTAAGTTTTCACAATTTTTCTACAAAATTCCTATTTTTCAAAATTGCTATTAAACCAACGTCTCTTCTTCAAATATCTTGTATATATACATAGAAAAAAAAAGAATTAGTTTATAAGTTCATACTCAACGCTCAAAAATGAGAGGCTTAAATGTATCTGATAACTTACATGAATTTCTGCTCTTTGGTTTGTCTGTCGCCCAGGAAGTCTAATGCCTACATTTCTGTTTCAAAACAGTACAAAAGAAAATAAAATTATAAAGTGAATTCTCAAAGTGATTTTTCTTAATGGATAACAAACTAGTGTGTATACTTATTTGAAATATAAAAGTATCATATAAAAATCAAACTAACAGAGAGACTCCCAGAAGCAGACAGGAGCAAACAGGTTTCCACACTCGGGCACGTTCTGACTCTCATGGGTTCCACTAGGGCAGAGGAAGTAAGAGCCAGTTCTCTGCGGACCCTGGGTTAGGCCCTATGGCTGCGGCGGGAAGAACCCCAGGAGAAAACTCAGGAAGAAGAATGGAGAGTGAGGTTTCAGACTGAAATTACTAAAAACCTCCAGGGAGTAAAACAGGAAAATGAAATCAAGGAACCAGAAAAAACCCTCAGACAAGTTATTTAAAATTTGGGGTCACCAGGAGATCCAATGTTTCCTAAAAGAATGAGCGATTTTTGGGCCAGGCGTGGTGGCTCACACCTGTAATCCCAGCACTTTGGGAGGACAAGGTGGGAGGATCGTGTGAGCCCACAAATTTGAGAACAGCCTGGACAACATAGTGAGACCTCATCTCTACTTAAAAAAAAAAAAAAAAAATTAGCTGGGCATGGTGGTGTGGACCTATAGTCCCAGTCACTCGGGAGGCTGAGGCAGGAGGATTACTTGAGCCTGGGAGTTTGAGGCTGCAGTGAGCTAGGATCATGCTACTGCACTCCAGCCCGGGCAACAGAGTGACACCCTGTCTCATTAATAAATAATAAGCAAACAAAAAAGAATGGGCATTTTTTGAATGCAAAGAGTTGAGGCAGAAGAATAATAAATGGTGTAAAGCAGGGGTCCCCAACCCCCAGGCCATGTACTGGCACCAGTCTGTGGCCTAAGAACCAGACTGCACAGCAGGAGAGAGGTGGGCAAGCCAGCAAAGTTTCATCAGTGTTTACAGCCACTCCCCATCACTCACATCACCACCTGAGCTCAGCCTCCTGTCAGATGGGCAGTGGCACTAGATGTGCACAGGAGCATGAACCCTACCTTGAACTGTGCACCCAAGGGATTTGGGTTACGCACTCCTTGTGAAAATCTACTGCCTGATCATCTATCACTGTCCCATCACCCCAGATGGGACCGTCTAACTGCAGGGAAACAAGCTCAGGGCTCCTAGTGATTCTAGGAGCAAGTTGTAAAATTATTTCATTACACATTACAAGGTAATAATAATAAAGTACACAGTAAACGTAAGTATGCTTGAATCATCCCAAAACCATCCTTCCGCCCCATGCCCTGTGGAAAAATCGTCTTCCACAAAACTGACCCCTGGTGCCAAAAAGGTTGGAGATTGCTGGTCTAAATCAAGTGCCCAGCATCTCAAACACAGGCACAGAAAGAAGAGCTGGTAACAATGTCCCCAGACGGGAAGTCTGAAGGATTCCTACTGAACTGCCCACGAGGCCAACCTGAGGCCCAGGAGCCTCCATGGCCCCGTGCTTCCAAAGAGGCCACACACACGATTCTGGATACAAACAAACAGACCAATGTCTGTCCTTCCAGCTTCTGAGAACCAGCCCCAGGTCTGTGCCATCCCATTTGCTTTGAGGCGCAGCTCCCAGCCCAGCCATGATCTCCATGGAGGATCCTCAGGTATCCAGATGGGACCCCTGGAACATGAACCCTCTGTGGTCAGCTCTAGTTATGCTTCCTGCCATACTCCCAGTAGCCCCCAGCAGAAACAGAAGCAGCTGATGTCTTCTGACTCTGATCCAAACCCTCAACTTACAGACAATTAGAACCTAGATCTTGATTCTGTATGAAAGACAACAGAATAGCAATTGTATACACTGCGGTACAACCCTATCCTCTCCCAGCCCAGTGTGATGAGAGTAAAATATGAAATCGATGAGGGAAAAAAAAAAATCAAACCCACAATATTAAGACTTTGTTGAAAAACACCATGGTATGGTATCATAGAAGGAACACTGGACCAGAAGTCAGAAGTCAGGAGCGAAGTTGAATTTCTGGACCTGAGAGGCATTAGCATGTATCCTGGGCAAGCGCTAAGCCCACGGATACTCAGTGCGACCCACGCTTGCCTCCTCTTCCAGGGTTCCAAGCTAAAATGAAATGGTAACGTGAAAGAAAGTAAAAGAACTTTGTAAACTGTACAGTGCAACAGAAATGTAAAGTGGTATTATTATGGAACAATTACATCAAATCTGCCTCACGGCGTTCGTGGGCACAGGTAAATACTGGAGAATGCAGGTCGGCATCGGTGCATGGTGATTTTGCAGGGCTGAAATTCCTCCTCTACACTGAATCTTAGGGCTACCCACTACAGTTCAAGTTCATTCACATCCAGGGGCTAGGTGTGTTTGGATAATCGCACTTCACTTCACCCTGTGTGCCTTCTGAAACACAAAGCATCACCTCGAAGACAGTCTGGTGATGTGATGGCTTCCAAGTCCGGAGACTGCCCCGCCCCCTTGTGCATGCCTCCCAAGACCATCTCCCAGTGTGCCACGTGACTGCAGAGTCAAGAGGAAGTGAGGTCACATCAGCAAGACCAAGCTACTAAAAAGCTCCAAGAAGTAAAGGAGGAAATGAAATTAAGGAACCAAAAAATCCTCAGACAAGTTATTTAAAATGGGGGTCACCAGGAGATCCAGTTTCCTAAAAGAATGAGCAATTTTTGGGCCAGGGTGGTGGCTCACAGCTGTGATCTCAGCGCTTTGGGAGGACAAGGTGGGAGGATCGCGTGAGCCCAGAAATGTGAGCCCAGCCTGGGCTACATAGTGAGACCTCATCTCTACTAAAAAAAAAGACTCCTCCTGGGAGGCTGAGGTGGGCGGATCACTAGGTCAGAAGATCAAGACCATCCTGGCTAACATGGTGAAACTCTGTCTCTACTAAAAATACAAAAAATTCGCCGGGTGCAGTGGCAGGTGCCTGTAGTCCCAGCTACTCGGGAGGCTGAGGCAGGAGAACGGCGTGAACCTGAGCAGCAGAGCTTGTAGTGAGCCAAGATCGTGCCACTGCACTCTAGCCTGGGTGACAGAGTGAGACTCCATCTCAAAAAAAAAATAGACTCCTCCACAGGGCAAGAAAGAAATGCCAAAGCCAGGTGTAGTGGCTCACGCCCGTAATCCCAACACTCCGAGAGGCCAAGGTGGGAGGATTACTTGAGCCCAGAAGGTTGAGGCTGCAGTGAGCTGTGTCTGTGCCACTGTGCTCCATCCTGGGCAACAGAGTGAGACCCTGTCTTAAAAAAAAAAAAAGCAAAGGAAGTAAAGCTGAGGTACCTGACATTCTGAAAAGCAATGCCGCTTAGCCCTAACACGAACCAAAGCTGCTCCTCTGCTACCCGCTGCCAGAGCTATTCATCTGCAGGTTTTCCCAATAATCAAATAATAAGCAGATCCCGCCTCATCTTTTCACAAGTTGTGGAACGTGATTCAGTAAAACTCTGCTTGCTTTGTTTACTTACAAAGGATGGCCCGGCCCCCAGTAAACGCCGATTCCCGCTCGTGGCCTTCTACGCCCATTACTGGAGCAGCAGCCATCAGTGTAGACGACAACAAAGTCTCCTGTGGGAAAAGGGAAGTAAATACTGCTGGGCTGACCTTACTGAAAACTGAAATTCACCTCAAAAATCCCCTAGGTCGAGTTAGCATTTTAACCCGAGGGCATTTTACAGCGCTGCAGACCTTTCCTCTCTGGGTAAACGTGCTCAATTCCTTACGAGTGGGCACCTACCATCTATGCTAGGAATCCGCTTACATTTTGATCTGGTAGGCCAGGCAGGTTCAGGACGAAGGCAGTCACTTTGTCAAACTAGGGCCTGCTGCAAAGAACTACTGTTCACACCCCACACTGAGGGTTCAAAGGACAATGACTCTGTCTCCATGGCAGGGTCACCTTCACTCCCAGGGAGCATCCTCCCACAGACAAGCAGTTCCTCAGCGTGACGGTGATCTTGCCTGCCAGAGGGCCCAGTCTCCTGACCAGGGCTGGTCCAATTTCTTCCCTGGTATATTTGCCGCTAGTTAAATATGGTTCCTGTCTTTGCTTCTTTCCCTCTTGATAGAGGGTGTGATTGACACACCAATGCTGTAAAGAACAAGGTAAAAAAGGACGGATGGGGGCACTCCCAGGCCACTGGTGACCAGGACACTTCAGCAGTGTGGTGGGAGCAGAGGTCAGGTTGCAAAGTGTTAAAAGAGCTGGGCGAGAGGGCAAATAGAGGTGACATGCGCAGGAAGTGGAAGTACGTGTCCAAAGGACGGCAAACTGAGCTCAGCGGTGGCGAGGGGGCAGGGATGGGGACGTGCTCCTCACAGGAGCGGGGCTGAGAGCCAAGGGGAGTGTGGGTGTCGGGCACGGCTCCTCAGTTCAGCTGGAACTTGACTGTATGAGCACGACTACAAACTTGCCGCCCAGCCACTGAACTGTCTCAGGAGCCAGCACCTGCCACCCGCCATGTTCCAGGCCACTGAGCCTCCAGCAATGGTCAGTGCCTGGAAATGGCTCATCTCCCTGAGACTCCACAAATCTTTGCTTCAATTCCTACTAGTAAATCACCAAATAAAGAATACTTGTTTGATCTTTTTTTACATAACTGCAAAACGTATCTATAAATAATACAGCTTGGCAAAACATTTTCTACTGGTTTCCCTTGAATTAAATTAGAACCTATAAATACACTGATTTATATTTTTTAGTGCTACTTATTTCTATTTTCTGCTCATATGTGTAAAAGACACAAAGGAGACTTCTATTCTGTGAGTCACTAAATACATACAACTGATTCCTGGAGTGAAAGGTAGCAGAAAAGTTCACTACTACTTTGCTTCTCAGGATAAAATAGAATCTCCTGTTTTTCAAAGATTGGGTATGAAAGGTTAAAATGCTGGTGCTAATCAATCATAACAAGCAACGGCGTGCGGGGTGTTTCTTATTTGAAAAAGCTGGAGTCTTCATATTTTATCTTAATAACGTTAAGTACTGCATGCACAGGGAGCACTGGTATTTCAGAAGATTACGGTTGTTCATTTACATGTAAGGGTTTTCCTAAGAACATTCAAAAGTTTAATTCTGCACCACTTGATCAATTACAAAATAATGGCCTTAGTGATTTCTAGATAATCTTTACACATAAGAATGAAGATAATAAACATCAGCTCAAACTCTCCCCATTAAGTGGGAAACACCTTTTACACATAACATGCTCATGATGGTTCTATTAAAATTTGAAAACCCAAGGAAGATGTACCCATGTAGGAAAACGTGTCTCTGCTAACTGGAGGCGCCGGCTCCATGCTCGGCTTCATGTGCTTTGCATAGGGCTCTGCGCTTCCATCTCCATCTCCATCCAGTGGCTCACGGAGTCGCTTGCTGGCTTTCATCTGCGATTCTTGTCCATGTTGATTTTCCTGCCCTGAAAGAGAGTCCACTAGTGAGCTGGAAACAATGAACATAACACGAAATGCTAGAGAATGAAGACATTCAGTCTTAAGTTATTTAGTATCATTAAATCAGACTTAAAAACACCCTCTGTATGTGGTCCTACCATGAGGGAAACGAGGCAATGACCCCCCTCCACGCTGCCCCGACTCCCCTCCGCGCCGCCCCAACCCCCACTCCGCGCCGCCCCAACCCCCTCCACCCTATCTCAACCCCCTCCACGCCATCTCAACCCCCTCCACGCCATCTCAGACTTAAAAGGGAATGACCCCATTCACACCATCTCAGACTTTGATACGCTGAGAAATAATTCTAAATTTTTCAAGATAACTTTGGTAAAGACAATGAGAAGACAATAGCAAGGCTTCTGTTGAAAGTAAAATCTGGTTGGTTGGGTGCAGTGGCTCACACCTACAATCCAAGCACTTTGGGAGGCCGAGGTGGGCGGATCACCTGAGGTTGGGAGCTCCAGACCAGCCTGACCAACATGGAGAAACCCCATCTCTACTAAAAATACAAAATTAGGCAGGAGTGGTGGCGCATGCCTGTTAATTCCAGCTACTTGGGAGGCTGAGGCAGGAGAATTGCCTGAACCTGGGAGGTGGGGAGGTGGACGTTGCAGTGAGCCAAGATTGCGTCATTGCACTCCAGCCTGGACAACAAGGGTGATATTCCGTCTCAAAGAAAAAAAAATAAAAGAAAGTAAAGTGTGGTTTTGATGGAGATAATGACACCAAGAGTTCTTGACCCTTTAGAGATCATGGACAGTTTGAAATAAAAGGGGCTCTTTCTCCAGGAAAAACATGGTCCAAAATTGTGTATATAACATGAGTGGTGTTGCTGGGTGCAGTGGTGCATGCCTACAGTTTCAGCTACTTAGGAGGCTGATATATGAGTATCGCTTGAGCCCAGGAGTTTGAGTCCAATCTGGCCAACATAGTGAGACTCCTTTGCTTAAAAATAAATAAATCTAAAAAAAGATGAGTCATGGCCATGGTTCAGCCCTTCCCCGCCTCAAATACAACTACATGGACACTAAATTAAGAACCTCTAGGAGGGCTTAGAGGGTACAGGTTAGTTTAGTTTGAATAAACAGATAATGGGACATATTGAGAAAGGGAAACAGGCTGGGAGGCCGAGGCGGGCAGATCATTTGCGGTTAGGAGTTCAAGACCCGCCTGGTCAACATGGTAAAATCCCATCTCTACTAAAAATACAAAAATTAGCCAGGCGTGGTGGCGCACGCCTGTAATCACAGCTACATGGAAGGGTGAGGCAGGAGAATGGCATGAACCAGGGAGGCGGAGATTGCAGTGAGCTGAGATCACGCCACGGCACTCCAGCCTGGGCAACAGAGCCAGACTCCATCTCAAAAAGAAAAGGAAACAGAGACCAGAAACTAAAAGGAAGCAACTGGGTCCCTTCAGGGGGGGCACTCTTGCAGTTCTTCTTTTGCAACAAAGTTTTTCTTCAGGGTGTACTCAAAGTTAATCCCAAATCGATTTTTTTTTTTTTTTTTTTTTGAGACAGAGTCTCGCTCTGTGCCCAGGCCGGAGTACAGTGGCACGGTCTCAGCTCACTGAAACTTCCGCCTGCCTGGTTCAAGCAGTTCTCTGTCGCAGCCTCCCAAGTAGCTGGGATTACAGGCACCCACCACCACGCCTGGCTAATATTTTTTTTTTGTATTTTTAGTAGAGATGGGGTTTCACCATCTTGGCCAGGCTGGTCTTGAACTCCTGACCTTGTGATCCGCCCGCCTTGGCCTCCCAGAGTGCTGGGATTACAGGTGTGAGCCACCGTGCCCAGTCCCAAAGAGATTCTTTTTTTTTTTTTTTTTGAGATGGAGTCTCGCTCTGTCGCGGCCCAGGCTGGAGCGCAGTGGCCGGATCTCAGCTCACTGCAAGCTCCGCCTCCCGGGTTCACGCCATTCTCCTGCCTCAGCCTCCCGAGTAGCTGGGACTACAGGCGCCCACCACCTCGCCCGGCTAGTTTTTTGTATTTTTTAGTAGAGACGGGGTTTCACCGTGTTAGCCAGGATGGTCTCGATCTCCTGACCTCGTGATCCACCCGTCTCGGCCTCCCAAAGTGCTGGGATTACAGGCTTGAGCCACCGCGCCCGGCCCCAAAGAGATTCTTAATACCATCTCAGGGTTATCTGGGAAGGGCCCATATCTCACTCACTGGGTAATATTATGGAAACTGAAGTAGAATCACTAAATTAGACCACGACTCAAAACACCAGAGTTTCAATTTGTGTTACACCTTTTATCAGCTGTGAACTCTGTCAACTGAATTAAACCCTCTGGGCTTCTGTAAAATGAAGCCCTGGGCTAGATGATCTGAAATGACTTTTCCCACACTATCATTTTATGGTGTGAAAATAAAGACACAGGAGCCACCACCTACCTGCAAACAACCCTAACCCAACACTACAGGATTCACCTCCAGCTCTCAACTCCTAAACCAAGGATGAAGAAATGGGGCACAAACAGAACACCTACTAGAAAGGCACAAGACAAATCTCCAGCCTAGTGGAGCTTCTCAACCCACACCTCTCAGAGCGCTCAGGGAGCCTGGGCGACACTTGACTCTGATCAGCCAGGCGTCAGCAACGCCGGCGTTTCCACTGCCAGGTTTCATTATCACATTCTCACCTCCAAAACCTGCCTCTAGGTGCTCTACTGAAGTAAACACAAATACTCCGCTCCAGGTCAAAGTGTCATTTCGTAGAACCCTAACACTGATACAAATACTGGCTTTACCTACTGTAACAGAGATGGACACTTCCTACAGAACAGACAAGACTTTGAAGGAGGAAAAAACCACGCTTGTCAGTTAAGTTTTACTTCACAAAATTGTGGTTTTTAAGTAAATTAACCTTAAATCAGCTTATATAAACCATAAGAACCAGCAAATAGCTCAATAATTCTAAAATAAGGATAAAAGTACTGTTAAAAAACAAAAAACTGTCAAAGGGGCTAATGCTTTTTCTTTGATATAGATCTGAATCATTAAAGGCACTAAATCTCAATTTATAGTCGTAAGTCACTGACTAGGAGATCTCTGAAGTTTTAAGAAGCAGATTCACAAGGAACTAGCTTGCTTTAAGATTTAGAGTACTTAATAAAAACAGAAACATACTTATATTGGCAGAACTGAGATACAAATAAATTACTCATTGGTTAAAAACAAAAAATTCGTGAAAAGGAAAATTATGAAAAGGAAGTATCAGGAACCCAGCAAAGAAGGAAAGAGCCATATTTTCAAACCTGCTTTCTGTCTCAAACTGATTTTTCCATCTGGTAGAAAAATGAACAGCTGTAACAGCGAGGATGAGGCTCAGCATTACTGCCTCCATTCTCCCCTAACATCCCCGTGGTGGGATCGTATAGGCTGAGAGAACTATGGGAAGAATTCATAGTTTAAAGCAAGTATGACAGTGGTCCCTTCCCAAAACTAACCCCCAAGGAGATAAAGAGGGAGCACACACAAGTAACAATGTTATGTTGAAGACTTATAGGAGCATCATGGCCTGAAGAAAGACAGAGAAGTTTCACAATCCCCTTGGACCTTCGCTGCCATCAGGATGTCTGTGCTCATCGGTCACCTCCTGATCTCACCTCCGCCTTTCTTTCCCCTTCCCTTAACACAGAAGAAGTCTCCAGTTCTATTAACTTAAGATGGTTCCTCAGGACATTAGTCCACCATCTTCTTGGCTTGGTGGCTCTCGGAAAAAAGTTGCCTTCCTTGCCCCAACACCTTGTCTCTCAGCTTATGGGCTGTCATTGCAGTAAGCAGTAAGAACTGTCACATCGATGAGCCTTTTTCATGTGTCCTCATTCTCAAACAAGCAGAACCTCCTTTAAAAGCTATTGAAGAGCGAGAGGGTGGAGCAGATGCACTAAGTGAGGGTCGCCCCTACTTTGGAAACTAACTCTTCAGGACTCCATTCTGGACATAACCTTCCTCTCTCTGAATTGTGCTTTGTCCAGGATTGTTATGATGATTCAAAGGAGCAGTTGTTCAGTGTTCAGGCATCTCAGTGGCCTCCAGAGAGGCTGTTCAAGATAAGGTAATTAAAATTATGCTCTGCTCAGTTTTAATTTGCTGTAGTAAAAAGTTTGTAAGTAACATTCATGTAAGAGCACTTCCTCAGTGTAGATCCAGAAATACTTTTAAAATCTTGTGCTTTAAAGTTGTCACCCACTCATCTGAGTTTGCATAATAAGCTTTAAACTTCAAATTATATTGGGCATTAATCTTATATTGGGCTTTAAACTTTGAATAACCATACTTTATATAACACATAAAATTGGAAGAAACTGGCCAGGCATGGTGGCTCATGCCTGGAATCCTAACACTTTGGGAGGCCAAGGCAGGTGAATCACTTGAGGTCAGGAGTTCAAGACTAGCTTGGCCGATATGGTGAAATCCCATCTCTACTAAAAAAAAATACAAAAATTAGCCGGGTGTGGTGGCACGCACCTGTAATCCCAGCTACTCGGGAAGCTGAAGCAGGAGAATCACTTGAACCCAGGAAGCAGGGATTGCAGTGAGCCAAGATTGTGACACTGCACTCCAGCCTGGGCAACAGAGTGAGACTGTCTCACGGAAGGAAAAAAAAAAAATTCAGATTGTGTGACTCTGTCCTCAATAAAAAGGAAACACCATAAAGGTGCATGCCATGAAAGAACCACACTCATTCCTATAAACTGTAGCCCATTCAGTCTAATAACTATGCAAGTTTTTTTTTTTTTTTTTGACAAGTCTTGCCCTGTCACCCAGGCTAGAGTGCAGTGGCGCAATCTTGGCTCACTGCAGCCTCCACCTCCCGGGCTCAAGCAATTCTCCCGCCTCAGCCTCCCAAGTAGCTGGGATTACAGGTGCACGCCACCACACCCGGCTAATTTTTGCATTTTAGTAGAAACGGAATTTCATCATGTTGGCCAGGCTGGACAAGTATTTTTTTAAAAAAGACAAGGAATTATGGCATAAAAGGCTGAATGGAACAGGAGAACTGAGTCCTGGCTTATCCCTAATACTGTAAGTAATATGAACCACTATTTGTAACTGCTTTCAGCCTGTTCTAATTTGTAAAATGAAAATGATCACTCGAGGTTCTCTACATGCCTAGAGGGTAGCTATATAGATCAAATGCCATCTGGCATATGAAAGCCTTTGAATAGGTTAAAATGTCAGACTGACATGAGAGGTGACTACCTTCTGAAACTTCTGGGCTTGCAGATTTCCTGACAAAGGTCCAGGCCTCATCCTCTGTGGCAAACTTCTTAAATCTGGCAGCAGGAAACCGGTCCACCTGTGCTTTGCACTCATTCCTGGAAAAGATGTGCAATGTTATTTCCTCCTTCCCTAACTTATCTCCTTTTTTATTAAGATTCTTAAAGTTGGAAATACAGTTGTCCCTTGGTATCTGAGGGAGACGGATTCCAGGAAGTCCTCCACCCCCATCACAGATACCAGTATCAGAGGATGCTTAAGTCCTTTGCATAAAATGGTGTATTTGCACATAACCTACACACATCTTCTTGTATGCTTTAAATCATCTCCAGTTTATAATACCTAATACAATGTATACAGTTGTTGTACTGCCTTTTTATGGGTATTTTAAAACTGTATTCTATTTTTATTTTTTCCAAATATTTTTGATCTACGGTTAGCTGAAACTGAGGATGCAAACTGGATATGGAGGACCAATTTTAGTGTGAAAAGGGCAGAATCATGCCTTATAGTTTCATCCTGCACGTCAGACTCTACACCTGTGTTCTACCGTATGCCAGCCAGCACACCGTAAGGCTTTCATCAAACTCAAAGCGTAACAAAATACTGGGGTCTTTGAAAAAAAATATTAACCATTTCATTACGACAAAAAGGTCAACTTCTGAGATGTTTCTTCCTCAATACTATAGCTGCCGTGGAACACAGGTAACGACCTCTGGTATCTTGTAGTGGGAAGAGTTCTGGTGGTAGAGGCAGAACACGTGGGCTGAAGTCCTTTGTCAGTTCGTGCCCTGGGAACTTCCTGACCACAGGAACTACACCTGCAAGTGAGAATGATTCCTCTCACCTCCAAGCGTTGTTACAAGGATCCAACTGCAAATACTGGCTTATTCGAATTGACCTTTTTAAAAAGGGAAGATTAGATTAGGTACTGAGTTCCAGTCCCAATTTAGCTCGTACGGAAAATCTGGTAATGGGGGTTAGTTCTCAGGACGTGTCACTTTTTGTTGTACTTTAACTGCAACAAAGATGAAGGATTAAACACAGGGTTTATTAGGCCACCCCTTTCCAAACAAGTCTTCGGCGCGGTCCAGTCCCCGGCCGTGAGCCTCCCGGAACCCCGCCGGCCGAGCAGGAATACGAGGCGGTCCCCTGACCACCCACAGCCACGGCGCGCGGCACAGACTAGGCCCGCCAGGGTCCCGCCGCTGGGGTTAGCCGAGCTCCGGCCTCCCCTCGACTCCGGTGCCGGCAGGGAGGCGCCTAGGCGGGCGGGCACTCACCAGGTCAGAAAGACCCCGGTCTTGCGGCCCCTCCTCACGGCATAGAACATCCCGAACCCGCGAGAGCCGCAACGGCAGGACACGGCGGCCAAGGCGACTTTGTGGGCCAGGAACACAAGCCAGCTCATCGCTCACTCCCGGCACCGGGAAGCATTTCGACTCCCGGCCCAGCGTGGGCGCGACCCCGCAGCGCTCACCACCGCACTTCCGTCCGCGGCGCGGAAAGATGACGCACGTCTGGGCGGAGTCCTGATGAGAGCCGGGGCCTAAGGAGGGGAGGGGTCGCCGGGCGGAGCCTGGAGCCTGGAGCCCAGTCCCCGACGAGCCCAGAGTCGTCAACTTCCTGTCGCTACTTGAAGAAGCGGGGCGAGGTCTGGGATGGGGCGGGGCCCATGGGAGCGGGGCCTTAGACGCACCTGACCGGGCTGAAGCTCTGAGCCCCGCAGAGGAAGGTCGAGATGGGCCGTGTGGGGCCACTACTCTCCCCGCCCCCAGGCTGCCTTTCGGGGGCCAAGCCCCGGCGCGCTCGGGTCAGCGCGGGAAGCCCTTGAACCCCCTGGCGCCCGGCGCCCACGTGCGGTAACCGCGGCTCCTCGAGAGCTCCCGGGATGCGGATCTGTAGTCAGGGCTGTGGCCAAATGAATGAATGCACATTTTTTAGTGGGAAGAAAGATGTTAGGATTCATGAATTAGAATAAGCACAAAGGAGGGCGAGAGGGGAGGCCGTGGAAGCCGCATTCCTCGCCTTGCCCCGGGCGCACACCCCCGAAGGGTCGCGTCCCCTCCCTGCTCCACTGCACGTGGGTTTTAACCAGGGCGTGTCCAGTACCTCAAGCACCACGACCCGGGAGAAAACTGAGTTGAGAAGGCAGCTTTTAGAATTCTGCTCCCTATTTGACCTTTTGCTCTGTAAGCAAATCAAGTTATTTTAAAAGTCTCCATGGGTTGGCGGGGCGCAGTGGCTCACGCCTGTAATCTCAGCACTTTGGGAGGTCAAGGCGGGTGGATCACCAGGTCAGGAAATTGAGACCATCCTGACCAATATGATGAAACCCCAGCTCTACTAAAAATACAGAAGTTAGCCGGGCATGGTCGCCTGTGCCTGTAGCTACTCAGGAGGCTGAAGCAGGAGAATCGCTTGAACTCGAGAGGTGGAGGTTGCATCTGGGCGACAGAGTGAGATTCCGTCTCAAAAAAAAAAAAGTCTCCTTTGGCAAACATTGTTTATCCAATTATTTTTAAACCACTTTTCTTTAATTTTCTTAAGGTCTTCTAACAAGCCTTTTGCACACCTGCCATGTGTTTTGTCAGGCCCTGGGGGTGAAGGTGAGAAAGTCGAGAATCCCTGGAGATAACACATCAGCAAATAGTGCACAGGCGGAACAAGCTGTTGGAGGAAAGAGAGACACAGAGCAGAGAAGCAACTGCACCTGGAGGGTCGGGAGGGCCTCACATCAGAACGCCTAAGCAAATAGAGTTTTCAAGGATAATAATTTTTTTAAAATTTCATTCACATGAATTAGACAGAAAGAAGCAGGACATTCTAGGAAGAAGGAACCGCCCAGGCAAAAGCGACGCGTAGATTGGCATGGTCAGTTTTTGTGTTCCTCTGTGAAATCAAAGAACATCTTTTTTTTTTTTTTTTTGACGGAGTCTCACTGTGTCGCCCAGGCTGGAGTGCAGTGGCACGATGCACGATCGGGGCTTACTGCAACCTCCACCTCCCGGGTTCAAGCAATTTTCCTGCCTCAGCCTCCCAAGTAGCTGGGATTACAGGTGCCTGCCACCACGCCTGGCTAACTTTTATGTATTTTTAGTAGAGACGGAGTTACACCATGTTGGCCAGGCTGGTTTTGAACTCCTGACCTCAAGTGATCCTCCTGCCTTGGCCTCCTAAAGTGCTAGGATTACAGGCATTAGCCACTGCGCCCGGCCAAAGAACATCAATTTTAAACAGTTCAGCTTTCCTAATTTTAATTTAAATTGGCCATAGCTTTCATTCCTCATTCCTACCTATTGCACTTCAAGACAGATTCTTATTTTAAAAATAAAAAGACACACACAGCTGTCCCTAAAGTCCATTGATGACTGATCATCCTACCCTTGTGTAGGTATCTGAGGAAGCCCAGAGATGCCCAGGAAGGCTCTCAGGATGACCCGCATATCTGGGGGTTGACCTACCGAGGGCTTGCTTTTCTATGCATACCAGTTGGTCCTGTATCACAAGGACTCATCTTCCCTGAGAAGTCCTAGGTTGGAATTACCTGAGGATGTTTGCAGGATCATCCACATGACTTTCAATAGTGCCAAAACCCTCTCTCTTCCTTCCCCTTCCCTTCCTTCCCTCCTTCCGTCCTTCCCTCCTTCCTCTCTCTTTCCTTCTTTTCTTCCTTCTTTCTCCCTTCCTTCCTTCCTTTCCTTCTTTTTCTTTCTTTCCCTTCTTTCTTTTCTTTCCTTTTCTTCTTTTGTCTTTTTTCAGGGTCTTACTCCAACACCCAGGCTAGAGTGCAGTGGCGTGATCTTGGCTCACTGCAACCTCTGCCTCCTGGGTTCAAGCGATTCTCCTGCCTCAGCATCCCGAGTAGCTGGAGTTACAGGCATGCACCACCATGCCCAGCTAATTTTTGAATTTTTAGAGACAAGGTTTCATCATGTTGGCCAGGCTGGTCTTGAACTCCTGACCTCAAGTGATCTGCCCAACTCGGCCTCCCAAAGTGTTGGGATTACAGGCGTGAGCCACCGCGCCTGGCTGCCCAAACTATTTATTTTGACTTTTCATTGACTGGTTACTCCTGAAAATCTTTTTTATCTTAATCTCTGGCTTAAAGAAATATAGGATATTTCTTATCCTGAGCAAACACAGGATCAGAAATCAGAAGATGAGTGTATATGTGGTCTCGGTCACTTAGCTCCTTCGAAACTTAATTTTCTCTACTGAAAAAAAAAACAATGGGAGTGATAATTCCCACTGCAAAAGGCTTTTGTTTTGAGGATGAGATTTTAGATGACATAATAAATGTATGCATAGCCTATTCCTGACACATGACATAAACTCAAATAAAAGTCGCTATTGCCGTTATCTCTTATATTCTGTAAATTAGGAATAAAAAAACCATTTCTGCTTATTTCTCAGGGTCCATTCAAGAGCTGTGTCCACCATATACCAGGCACTCGGCTAGACCTGCATCGTCTAATGCCCACCTCAGCCTCCCAAAGTGTTAGGATTACCGGCGTGAGCCACCGCACCCTGCCTGCATGTGGCTATTGAGATGTGCTGTATGATACACACCAGACTTTGAAGACTCAGTGTGAAAAACAAAAAGAATTTTAAGGGGGGGAGTCGAGGGGAGGCAGAGCATTAGAACAAATAGCTAATGTATGCAGGGCTTAAAACCTAGATAACAGGTTGATAAGTGCAGCAAACCACCATGACACACATTTATCTGTGTAACACCTACATGTTCTGCACTTGTATCCTGGAACTTAAAGTAAAATTAGAAAAAAGTAATAATAAAAGCCAACATGGCATTCATTACTGCCAAAAAAACAAAACACATTGTTAATTTTGTATATTGATCACAGGTTGAACTGATAATATTTTGAATACACTGGGTTAAAGAAATACATTTAAAATTAGTGGCTGGGCACAGTGGCTCATGCCTGTAACCCCAGCACTTTGGGAGGCTGAGGCAGGTGAATCACCTGAGGTCAGGAGTTTGAGACGAGTCTGGCCAACATGGTAAAACCCCGTTTCTACTAAAAATACAAAAATCAGCTGGGTGTGGTGGTGGGTTCCTGTAATCCCAACTACTTGGGAGGCTAAGGCAGGAGAATCGCTGGAACCCGGGAGGCAGAGGTTACAGTGAGCCGAGATTGTGCCACTGCACTCCAGCCTGGGTGGCAGAGTGAGACTCCATCTCAATAATAATAATAATAATGATGAAATTATTTGTTGCTGTTTTACTTTTCAAATGTGACCACCAGAAAAGTTTAAAAGGCTTGTGTGACATCATTGAATGGAGCTGTTCTAAACATGGGTAAGACAATGCAGAGCTTCGGTTGCAGGACAGAGAATGAAATAAACCCGTAAGACAGAGAAGTGACTGATCGTGACTGCTAGGGCGTTTACAGCATAGGCCGGTGACGGGAACGAGGAGCGTGGGGATGAGAGCCGATGTGGGCGAGAGTGTGTGCAATGCGGGGTCAGGCGTTGGATTCATCTCCCAGGAGTTGAAAAAGGTGGCGTTCCTGTTCTTTATTGGCATTGCTTGTGACACTGAGGACTGCCCCTCTTCCTGAAGAGGTCGGTCAGGAAAATTTTTTGTTAACTTTTATTTTAGATTTGAGGGTCCATGTGCAGGTTTGTTTTATGAGTAAACTCATGTCATGGGGGATTGTGTACAGATAATTTCATCACCCAGGAATAAGCCTAGTACCCGATAGGTATTTTTTTGGATCCTCTCCCTCCTCCCATCCTCCACCCTCAGGTAGGCCCCAGTGCCCACCGTTCCCCTCCTAATATCCCTGTGTTCTCACTGTGGAGCTCCCATGTATAAGTGAGAATATGCGGTGTTTGGTTTTCTGTTTCTGCCTTAGTTTGCCTCCAGTTCTATCCATGGTGCTGCAAAGGACATGATCTCGTTCCTTTTTATGGCTTCATGGTATTCCACGATGTATATGTATTACATTTGCTTTATCAAGTCTACTGTGGATGGGCGTTTATGTTGATTCCATGTCTTTGCTATCATGAATAGTGTTGCAGTGAACATACACCTGCATGTGTCTTTATGGCAGAACGATTTAGATTCCTCTGGGTATATACCCAGCCATGGGATTGCTGGGTTGAATGGAAGTTCTGTTTTAAGTTATTTGCAGAATCACTATGCTGCTTTCCGCAATGGTTGAACTAATTTGCACTCCCAATATTATATTGTCTGTAGCTGAGAAAGCTGAAATGTAAAGATTAAGCCACTTGCCCTCAGACATGTAGACAGGAAGTGGTACAGCCAGGACTCAAACCTGCCTCCAAAGTCCATCCTCCTAAACCTAAGTCATGGTTTTCAAAGTGTGGTCCTTGGACCAGC